CGTCGAGAGAGCTCACTCAGACTGCCGGCAAACAGGTGGAACTGATGCGAAGCCCGCGAGGAGGAGGGCAAAGGGGCGGGGAGATCGAGAAGCGCCGACCGCCCCCATCGGTGGATGACGGAGTGCGATTTGCCCAGGCCGGAGCTTCGGCCAAGCAGCCCGAACCGAGCGTGGCCGAGGTGCGGAAACGGAGCGGTTCGAGCAGCAGCGGTTCGGGGAGGGAGGACGAAGTGACGAAACAGACCTCGTGGGAAGTGCCAGAGGAAAGGAGGAAGGCGCGACCGCCCTCCTCACCGCGAGGAGAAAGAGGCGAGGACCGAATCGGACGAAGGAGGACGATGGGACCATCGGCTAGCGGCAGCCCGCGCGCTCGAGCGTCCGTGCAGGGTGCCTTCGACCTCCCTTCGCCCAAGACGGCCAAGAAAACGGTATCATCGCCGCGGACGAATGCTGATTAGACTTCACCGCCAGCACCAACTGTTAACAATACAGCACCAACAATGGCCGAAACGCCTGCAGCACACAAAGCCCAATGGCAGCCCAGAGTGAAGCCGCCAACACTGTAGCGGGAGCAGAGAATGCCGAACTGTGCCCCATCGCCATCACCAGCCTCCTACGCGGAAGGCTTCGATGGAACAGGATGAGGTGGGAGGGGTGGGACGACGAGGCCGCTTGGCATCACGTGTCAATTTCCGGCTGCAGAACCGCGACCTCGCGGAGAGTTTTTTACGTTGGTGCGGGGGGAGGCTTCAATCATAAGACGAACGGTGTTGAGGATGGAAGGGCTGTGGGGCCTCCTGGGTCTCCCAGCACCTGCCTATGCCTCGTTGCAGAGCCATGATGGGGACAACCCGGGGGTAGATTTTGTCTCACGCTCGCCAGATTCGCAATCGCTGGATGATGATGATGATGATGTTGTGCACCTGGGGCACATCGACGACAGCCTCTCAGCACTTCTGCACGAAGACCACACTCTGTGGATGCTCAGGACCATGTTCGAATGTCTGGAGATGACGCCCAACGGCAGCCTCTTCCTGACCCCGCCCGACAAGATGCCGAAAAGGAGAACGCCCCCGAGCCCCACCGAAGCCGAGAAGCAGGCGCAAAGGGCACGAGTGAATCGACAAATTAGCCAGGCAGTCGATGACAAGCGAAGAGCACGCGAGGCACAAGCCGACGTGCTGGCCCTCTTCGGCACCACGGGACTGCACGAAGAGAACATACTCAGGTCCCCCCCTCTCTCCTCCTCTTCTTTCCTCCTCTGCATGCACCTTGCAGCTGGACAGCACGAGAAGGTGGTAGAA